TGAACAGTGAAAGAACAGCAAACTCACAGTTATTAACAACCACACCTAAAACAAAAGCAAACTAAGCAGACAGCTAGATCAGGAGCAGAACCATAGAAATGGAGATCACAAGGAGGGTTAGCAACAGGGGAGTGGGAAGAGGAGAAGGGGGGAGAAGGTACAGAGAATAAGTAGCATAGACGGTAGGTAGAAAATAGACGGTGGGAGAGCAAGAATAGTATGGGAAATGTAGAAGCTAAAGAACTTGTGACACATGGACGTAAACTAAAGGAGGAGGGAATGGGGGGAAAGGGGGTGTGCAGGGTGGAGAGTAATGAAGGGGGGGAATGGGACAACCGTAATGGCATAATCAATAAAATAGATTTTAAAAAGTGAAAAAAGAAGTAAAAAAGCAATAAAAGAGGAGAAGTAACAACTGACACAATAGAAAAAGATTATAAGAAAATACTATAAAAAATTGTACACTAACAAACAAGACAACTTGAAAGAAATGGATAAATTCCTAGAAACATACAACGTTCCAAGACTGAATCAAGAAGAAACGGAAAATCTGAACAGATCAATCACTACCAATGAAATTGAAACTATAATTTAAAATATCAAAAGTCCTGGACTGGAAATTCACCTGGTTTCACAGGTGAATTTTAGCAAACAATCAATGAAGAATTAACACCTATTGTTTTCAAAAATATTCTAAAAATTCAAGAAGAGGGAAGGCTGTTAAGCTAACTTTATGAGGCCACCATTATGCTGGTTCTAAAATCAGACAAAGACATTATAAAAGCAAAAAACATACAGATCTGTAGGACAATATCCCTGATGAACATAAATGGAAAAATCCTCAACAAAAAACTAGCAAACCAAGTTCCGCAATACATTAAACAGATTATATACCATGATCAAATGAAATGTATGCCTGGGATGAAGTTTGATCCAATATCAGCAAATCCATTGACATCATACACCTTATAAATAACACAAAGGATAAAATCATATAATCATATCAGTAGATGCAGTAAAAGTATTTTACAAAACTCGGCAATCATTTATGATAAAAAACTCTTAGCAAAGTGAAAATAGAATGAACATATATCAGCATAATAAAGGGCATCATGAGAAATCCACAGCTAACATCATATTCAATGGGGAAACCTAAAAGCTTTTTCCTTAAGAGCAGGAACAAGACTTTCACCACTTTTATTAACAGAGTATTAACAATCCTAGCTGCAGCAATCAGACAAGAAAAAAAAGATGTCCAAATTGAAAAGGAAGAAGTAAAATTGTCATTATTTGCAGAGGAAATAATACTATATAGAGAGAACTCTAAAGATTCCACACAAAAAAACCCCAACCTATTAGAACTGATCAATGAATTCAGTAAAGTAGGAGAATACATAATAAATATTAAAAAATCAATTGCATTTTAATGTACCACTGTCAAACTATAAGAAAGAGAAATTAAGAAAACAATCCCATTTACAATTGCAACAAAAAATACATATAGATAAATTTAACCAACGTCATAAAACACCTGTATTCAGAAAACTATAAGACATTAAAGAAAGGAATTGGATGAGATACAAATAAATGAAAGCATATATCATGCTCACGAAGAGAAAGAATTAATGTGGTTAAAATTTCCACACTACCCAAACCAACTATAGATTCAATGCAGTCCTTATCAAGTTACCAATGACATCTTTCACAGAACTAGGACAAACCATTCTAAAATTTGTGTTGACCCACAAAAGACCTCAAATCGCCATGACAATCTTGAGAAAATGAGAACAAAAGTTTAGGTATCATGTTACATAATATCAAACTATACTATCAAGGCTATACTAATCAAAACAGCATGGTACTGGCATAAAAATAAAAACATACATCAATGGAACAGAATAAAGAGCCAAGAAATAAACCCACACCTATATGGTCAATTAATGTATGACAAAGAGAGTATACAATGGTTGGGGTGGTGAACACATAATACATTGTACAAATAGTGTGTTGTGAATTGTGCACCTGAAACCTGTGTAATTTTGTTAACCAGTGTCACCTCAATAAATTCAATAAAAAGGAAAAAAAGACTAGATTTTCAAATGTTTTTACCAGTTTAATATCAAATAAATATTTTCTCATTAAAATGTAAAATGGGATAAAACAGTCTATTTGATAAATGCTGTTGGGTAAAATTGGACAAACACATGCAACCCCCCCCCAAAAAAACCTATACCACATTCTTATATACAAGAATAAATTTAAGATGGATTAAAGACTTAAATGTAAGACTCAAAACCATAAAACTAGAAGAAAACATAGGCAGTTTTTTTGCTTTTGATATATCTCCTTGGGCAAGAGAAACAAAAGAAAAAATAAACAAATGGAACCACATCAAACTAAAAAGTTTTTGCACAACAAAGGAAACCATTAACAAAACAAAAAGACAACTTACTGGATGGAAGAAGATATTCACCAACAATCCATCTGATCATTTGTTAATATCCAAAATTCATTTATACACAGAGAACTCAAATAACTTAACATGAAAGAAAGAGAGAGAGAGAGAGAGAAATAAAGAGAGGAAAAGAAAGAATTTAAAAATGGGCAAAAAATGGGCAGAGGACCTGAATAGACATTTTTCCAAAGAAGGCATACAGATGGCCAATAGGCATACAAAAAGTTGCTAATTATCAGAACAATGCAAAGAAACAGCACAGTGAAATACAACCTCACACTTGTCAGAATGGCCATCATTAATAAATCCTCAAACAAGTGCTGGTATGGATGTGGAAAAAAGGGAACCTTTGTGTACTGTTGGTGGAAATGCAGACTGGTGCAGACACTGTGGAAAACAGTATGGAGGGTCCTCAAAAATTAAAAATGAAACTGTCTTATGACCAAGTGATTCTACTCCTGGGTATATATCTGAACAAACCCAAAAATTAAATCAAAGGAATATATGCAGTGCTATGTTTATTGCAGCATAATTTACAACAGCCACAGTATGAAAGCAACCCAAGTGCCCATTAGTAGACAAGTGAATAAATAAGTCGTGGTACATATAGAATACTACTCAGCCATAAAAAATAAAATCTTGCCATTTGTGACAACATGGATGGACCTAGAAGCTATTATGCTAAGTGAAGTAAGTCAGACACAGAAAGACAAATACCATATGATTTCACTTATATGTGGAATCTAAAGAACAAAATAAACAAACAAACAAAAACAGAAACAGACTCATAGATGCAGAGAACAAATTGATGGTTGCCAGAGGGGTGTGGGGTTGGGAGGCTCGGTGAAAAAGGTGAAGGGATTAAGATATACAAACTGGTAGTTACAAAATTGTTGTGAGGTGTAAAGTACAAGGGAATATAGTCAATAATACTGTAATAACTATGTGTGGTGCCAGGTGAATACTAGAATTATCTGAAGGGTCACTTTGTTAATTACATACATGTCTAACCACTAAGCTACACATCTAAAACTAACATAAAATAATATTAAGTGTCAACTGTTACTGGAAAAAAAAAGGGCATAGAATGATTCAAAGAGGAAAGTCTCATCCCAATCCTGCACTCACCCCATAAGTAACAACTTATAAGGATTTTTTGTACCTTTTCAGAATTTTAAGAAAACACATATGTTCTCCCTCCTCCCTTTTTTAAGATATAAAAGTTTACTTTTATAATATCATCAGTAACAATCTGTAGTTACACACAGAACCAGGAATGCCACAAAAGGGGTAACATCCTAGACTTCTGGTACACACAGCCCTAGGACTCCCTCCTCCTTCTTCACAAACAAAAATTGCATTCTCTTGGTAGCCTTCTGCACCTTTCTTCTTTCACTAAACAATACACTTGGAGATTTCTTTTTCATATTCAGACAGCAAGAGTTTTCTCATTCTTTTCTAGCAGATTAAATCTCACTGGGTAGATGTAGCATAATTTATTTAAGCGGCCCCTCCCTTATTAGAAGACAGCTGTGCTATTTTTTAGACAAAGCCTGCTCCCTTCCCTGACAGAGAGGCTGATCCAGCAGTCAGAATGGGTTTATAAAAGGGGGTGGGAAAGTGAGAAGACACTCTACCTTCCCAGGTGGGCTGAGGGCAGAGGTAAAGGCAGGTGAGGGAGAAGTGGGGGTAGGAGGCAAGGTTGGTTCTCTCATAGGTTTCCTGGGAGGCTGGATTCTCTGCTGACTTTTCCTCTGGTGCCCCCACTGCCCAGCGCTCCAGCTTGGCCCCCTCTTCCACATGCCCCTTTTCTGCTGGCCATCTCCTAGATCTAGGGCTGACTGCCCTGGGAACTTCCTAAGACCCCTCTGTGGGAAGATAGGTTGTTGAGGTGTGAGGAACTGGAGTCTGGCTGTCTGGGCTGGAACTCTCAGGGCTCTCCACATTGTCCTCCCAACCCCACTCCCAACCCCCATTGTGCCTAGTCTGGGACCATAACTGAACAACTCAGGGGCCTTCACCTGGCCCAAGAACAGGTTCCCTGTCTGCCCCACTGGCAGTCTGGGTGTCTAAAAGCCACTAAGCTGCCAAGGCTGGCTGGTGCCCCTTGTTTCACTCCCCACCCCCATTGGCAAGCCATGCCCTGTGGTTTCTCTTGAGCGGATTTGACAGGACTTGCCAAGCTGGCAGGCATTTCCCATCGTGGATGAAGTACTGGCTGGTGAAACCCAGAAGAGGTGTAGGCAACCTCCAAGGTCACAGAGCAAGCTAGTGTTGAAGTACCCTCAAGGGAGGATCTAGCCCAGACCCCTCATTGTATGACTTAGCTGCTCTGTGGGGTAAACTGGGTGGGGAGGACAGAAGATTTGGGTCTGGGAGGGAGACAAGAAGTCTGACCAAGGGTCCTATGGTTGGTGACTCTTAGGCCTTGTGTATCTCTGACTGTGGCTTTCTGGCAAGAACAGATAGACATGGCCTGGTGGATGGCACAGTTGCAGCTTCTGGCTTTGGTGACTGTTGCATAGGGTGCTCAGCCCAGGACTCTATGGGACAGGATGGATCTGTTCAACGTCTGCATGGGTGCCAAGTGTACCACAAGAAAAATCCAGGTCCAGAGGACAAGCTTCATGACCAGGTAAGGATGGAGCGGGGTCGGAGTGGAAAAAGGACTGACTCTAAAAAGGGAAGAAGTAGGTTGATAGGAAGATCAACTGTGAGGGGGTGATGGTGGCTAAGGTTATCCTGAGAGCCTTCCCTTGCGGGGCCACCAATGGGGGGGACCCACTGTGGCCCTAGTGCTCTCCTCACACATCTTATCAAAGAATGTACCCAAAGTGCCTACATGGTAGGTGGATGGTAGTCTCTACAAATGAGGAAATAGGCCCAGGGAGGCCACAGTTACGTGTGGAAATTGAAAGGCTAATCATTAACTAGGGTGAGGGGAGGAAAAGCAGTAACTTTCCCAGGTTTAATTATGTGCCAGCCCCCAGGGCCCAGAGGTAAGGCAGGAGGAGAGACCGGTCCCTCAGGCTCTGTGAAGCAAACACATACAACTGGCCAGGTCTCCCACCCCCATTAGGTTCTGAAGATTTCCCAGGAAACAGGCCATCAGCCTTGGCATTGAAGGATAAGTTTTCCAGGAAGACAGAGCTGGGAGGGACAGCCCAGGAGAGGACAGCACGTACACAGGTTGAAGGGTGACATCCAAGCAGTGGCAAATCTGTGGGGCCACAGCCCACAGAGAAATGGAGGGAAAGCCAGAGTTCCCATGTCATAGGTAAGGCCCCTGGAAGCAGTTTAGGAAGTCTGAACTTGAAGTTGAACTCCAAACTTATGAGAGATGCCAGTATTTCATTCCTTCTGTCCCCCTCCCCTGCTCCCCACAAGGTTTCATGTTGCTAGAGGGCTGGGTGTTCTCAGGGAAAGGCTGTGGCACGGACCGACTCCAGGGCTTGAAGTGAAGAGAAGAAAGCCCAGCAGCCCCATGATTTCTGAGTCATCTGAATCAGTTCATTGCTTTGTGTGTGTGTGAGTGGTAAAATATACACAGCATAAAACTTGTCATTTTAAGCATTTCTAAGTGGACAGTTAGCGGCCTCAAGTACCCTCACATGGTTGTGCAACAACACGGGGTGACTGCCGTCCATCTCCAGAACCACTTCATCTTCCCAAACTGAAAGTCTACCCATCATGTCATTTTTAGATCTTTTTAAGTTCCAAAGAGTACTTTTAAGGATGCTCTGGAGTACCTCCTCCAGCTTATTGTAATTCGGGGGGGGGCATGGTTATGTAGGAGTGGCTATTTTTGTTGAACCCCCACTTTACGTTATATTAAATCTTTTGGAGGAAGAAACCATTGACCTTGGCTGGTAGGTCAGGGATGAGGTGCATGGGGTCTTGCAGGATGACCAAGAGGTGGGACATCCAAGGAAGAGCGCGGTGAAGTTGGGGAGGCCTACACGCATGGTCTGTGTTAGCTGCACTGGGTGTGGGCAAGGTTGTTGGAGAGCCGTTGGTTCAGCCCCACCCTCATGGATTTTCCTTAATTTCTCCTGAGTGCCCAGACCAATAACATCTCCCGTCTCGCGTGACCCTGGGAACTAGAATACATCTCATAGAATGGAAGCAATTGGTCCATGATCACCCTGCTCTTGAGTCATGGCCAATAGTAATTTCTAGACAGAAACCTCCACCACTTCTTCCATCTTCCTGCCTTGAATTTAACTCTCTAGGACAGCCTCCCCCCCTCAGTCAGGCCCATGTTTAGGCCTGTGTGCTGATCATTGCCCCTCTGTTCCTGCTTTGCTTTCAGAACCTATCTGGAGGCCCCTCATCTGCAGTTCCAAGCCCCAGGACAGCCAGACCACCTCCCTTCACCTCCGCTCCCCACCAAATGTGGGACCAGGCTCCTGAGCACCCTGTCCTGCATCTTAACCCCACCACTTCCTAGGGGTTCAGCTACTTACGCTCTGTAAAATTGCTATAATAATGTTTTTTACTGGATTGATGAGAAGATGAACAAAAGCTCTGGGGACTTTGCAAAGCTGTTTTCTAGGCGTAAACGTTATGTGTTTTCTCTCACCCCTGAAGGAAAACCATAAACAACATGAGAGAAGATACTTGATCTGTTTCTTTCATTGTAGTATTCTCAGGACCTAGCTCAGTGCCTGATATACTATAAGCCCTCTGTTAATATTGGCTGGATGCAAAATGAGTCGTATAGATAACTTGAATAATGTTTGTAAACTGTTAGAGCTGTACAAATAATAATTACTCCCCCTGTGAGGTTCCCCAGGTTGCCCACATCCCCTATGTTACTCTCTGTTAGATTCAATATATTATTGCTTTGCCAACCTCCAGACACAGGTGCCTCCCCATTGAGTGTTCTTCTGGACGCCCTACTGGGACACAGGGGCCAAGAATGGAGGAGATGGCTGTGCTGAGGAAAGAACTTAGTCCTGTGTCTTCCCCACTCAGTGCAGTCCCTGGAAGAAGAACGCCTGCTGTTCTGTCAACACCAGCCAGGAAGCCCATAAGGATGTTTCCTACCTGTACAGATTCAACTGGGACCACTGCGGCCCCATGCAACCCGCCTGCAAGCGCCACTTCATCCAGGACACCTGCCTGTATGAGTGCTCCCCCAACCTGGGGCCCTGGATCCAGCAGGTGTGGTGTCCTCCCCACAGCTGCTTCCCACACATCTCCTCACTCTGCCTCTCCACCTCTGGGCCTGTTCAGGGCTGGGCACTGAGGATCCTGAGTCTGAGTCCTTTTCCCTCCACACATGTTCCAGGTGAACCAGAGCTGGCGCAAAGAGCGGGTCCTGAACGTGCCCCTGTGCAGAGAGGACTGTGAGAGCTGGTGGGAAGACTGCCTCACCTCCTACACCTGCAAGACCGACTGGCACAAGGGCTGGAACTGGATCTCTGGTGAGGGCCTGGGCATGTGGGAGGGAGGCATTGGGAGGGGGAGGGTGGGAGGGAGACAGCTGTATGAGGGGTAGTTGTGAGGCCAGCAGAACCAGAGATAGTTCTGACCCCAGTACTAACTAAAGGCCTTCCATCCTTCAACAGGGTTTAATGAGTGCCCAGTGAAGGGCGCCTGCCAGCCCTTTCATTTCTACTTCCCCACACCCGCTGCTCTGTGCAATGAAATCTGGAGTCACTCCTACAAAGTCAGCAACTACAGCCGAGGGAGCGGCCGCTGCATCCAGATGTGGTTCGACCCAGACCAGGGCAACCCCAATGAGGAGGTGGCGAGGTTCTATGCTGAGGCCATGAATGGGGCTGGGCTCCATAGGGTCTGGCCTGTCCTGTCTGGCCTGGCCCTCATGCTGTTCCTAGTGCTCAGCTGAAACCCTTTTACCTTCTGATACCTGGACATCCCTGCCCAGGTCAGCCCCACAGCTCAGCTCCTGTGCTGGAAGCTGTCCACAGCTTAAATAAACCATATAACCCGCATGTGTCCTGCAAACTGTTTGGGTGTGAATGGGAGTATGACTTTTGCTTCCTAGTTTCCATTGATTGAAGTCAGTGAGACTCGGTCAGTTCCCAGCTCTGATACTTGCTATGAATTTTTCAGATATTTAACTATTCTTCTAACTGAGGACATATTTATAGCTTTCAGTTTCATTTTTCACGTCAGCTCTGATCTAGAGTTAGACCCAGGGTTTTACCATTTGCATTGGAGGCAAGCCTCCCAGGGTTGACTATTCTGCCCTGTGCTCAGCTGTCCAGGAGAAGAGAGAGGAATGGCAGTCAGTGCCCAGCACGTTCTGGATGGCTGACTGGGAAGAAGTGAAGGGTCCAAAAGAGCCCTGCCCTGCTCTAGCTAGTACCCTCACAGTGCTACCTGCCAGGCAGTGTCCTAAATGCTTTGTACTTATTCCCACAGGGCGTAGACACTGTTGTCTGCATTTTATGTATGTGAAGACCAGCACATACATTCAGGAGCGTGTCCAAAGCATTATCCTCTGCATAGAGCTGGGATTGCACTCCAGGCAGTCTGGCTCTTGAGAACAAGCCCTCTCCCCAGTGTGGGGGGGTAAGTGCGTGCATCTTGAAGGGATACTGGACCCACACCTGGGCAGAGGAACAGGGCCTGAGCTGTCCTGGCAGAGCTGGGACTAGATCCCAAACCTACACTCCTAGCACAGCTTCTAGACCAGTGACGTGACAGATTTTTTAGGCAGTGATCTCGCATTAAGTACAGTTTATAGCAGTTGTTATAAGCGGCGTTATGTTACAATACCATCTCTAAAATCTCAGTGGCTTAACCCAACTAGCGGGTATTTCTGGCTCAAGCTACAGTGATTAAAGTGGGTTGTGAGGGGGCCTCTGTTTGGCACTCAGCCAACCAGGGTGGTGGAGGGTCCATCTCATCACACACTTCACACACTTCACACACACAGGCAGGAAAAGGGAACCTGGTGAATTCCATACAGGCTCTTAAAACCCCCACCCATCACTTATATTGTTGGCCAGTTCCCATTACAGTCATAACTAACTTCAAGAAGGCCAGGGAAATGCGAGTCTATGTGAGCCTGGAAGGAGGGGGAGTCAGAATATTTGACAACAGAACTGATTACTACTAGTACAAAGACTATTTTGCTCTGGTCAGTGTATTTCTGGCATGGTCATGGCCATGGTTAGAAATTAATTTTTTTGGTTTACTTCTCCTAAAAGGAGGAGTATCAACTGTTAACCTATGAAAAAACTGTATCAACATGAAAAGCAAAGCGCTGACTGGCTGCCACCCTAAGAGTCTTGTGAACAAGGCCAATGGACGTATCATATTCTCTACAGAACCAGAGACACTATTTACAAATCTGATTTGTTTACAGATATATTAGAATTAGTGAAATTTAAGATTGGAATCACCTCAATCCAATGTACCTTATCAAAGGCCTATTGTGCTGTTTGTGATCTATTTATAAAAATACTTGTCTGAATCCCACTCTGTATCTATCATCTTCAAGTTCATGGGAGTCACAAGGTTGCAGAACAGATGAATAATTTTCCATATCAATATGCCCTAGAGCAGTAGACGTGACATAAGGAAATATATATAGATTAATGGAACAGAACTGAAAGCCACAAATAAATCTTTATATTTATATTTAATTGACTTTTGACAAAGTTGCTAAGGCAACTCACTGGGGGAAAGGACTGTCTGCCCGACGATGTATGTTGACAACTGACTGCCCACGTGAAGGAAGATGAACGTAGACCTTCAACTCATGCCACACACAAACTCAACTCAAAATGAATCACAGACTTAAATATAACAGCTAAAACAATGAAAATTTTAGAAGAGAATGGAAAAACACTTTCAGATCCTGTGGTACGCAAGCTTTCTTGGTGTGACGCTTCTACCATCTTTTACTTCTTTTATGGACCCGAAGCACAATCCATCACAGGAAAAAAAACCAGAAAAACTGGACATCTTGAAAATTGAACTCATTCTACGAGACCTATATCACCCTGATACAAAATCAGAGAAGGACATCACAACAAAAGAAAATTACACCCCAATATATTTTGAATAAAGTCATAAGTCTCCTCAACAAAATACCAGCAAACTGAGTTCAGCATAATATAAAAGAAGAGATGATCCATCATCACCAGGTAAGATTCGTCTCAGTAATGCAGGCTGATTTAATAAAATACTATGTGAACAGAATAAAAGGGCTATTCCCACATGATCATCTCAACTGATGCAGAAAATCATTTGACAAAATCCAAAATTTTTTCGTGATAAAAAATAAAACCAACAATAAACACATTAGGAATAAAACAGAACTTTCCCAACATGATAAAGAACATCTATGAAAAGCCACTGCTAAATTCGGACTCAGTGCCAAAAGGCTTTCCTGCTAAGGTCAGGAATAGTATATGTGTATTCACTCTCATGATGTCTATTAGACATTGCACTGAGCACTTTAGCTATGGCTGTTAATCAGGAAAAGAATCAAAAGTCGTCCAGATTGAAAACAAGAAATAAAACTATTTCCATTCACAGATGGTATGACATTGTATATAGGAAATCCTAAGGAACCCATAAAGACATTACACTACTTATACTGAGTTTATTAAGTTTGTAGGACACCAGACAAACACATAAAAGTCGATTGTATTTCTATACACTAGCAATGAAGAATACAAAAATGAATTAAAGATTACAACTTCATTCACAACAGCATAAAAAATAACAAAATACCTCACAATATATTTAACAAAATAAAAGGCTTGCACACTGAAAACTACACGACATTGTTGAAAGAAATTAAAAACCTAATAAATTAAAAGAAATCCCAAGTTCATCGATCAGAAGACACTTTTGTTAAGAGGCAATTCTCTCTCTAAATCAATGTATAGATTCTACTTAATTCAAAAAATGCCAGCTAGCTTTTCTTTTGAGAAATGAGAACATAAGCCTAAAAGTTATATGGACATTGCAAGAGACCTATAATATCCTAAGCAATCTTGAGAAAGCACTAAATTGCATGACAAATACATTCTGACTTCAAAACATACTACAAAGCTACAATACTCAAGACAGTGTGGTAGTAGCTTAAGGACAGATGTACACATCATTGGAATAGAACTTAGAGCCCAGATTTTTGACAATGCTGTCAAGACAATGCCATGGGATAAATGACAACTCAAAGAATAGCATTTTCAAAGTGTGGTGCTGGGGTACAAGTGGATATTCACATGCAAAAAAATTATGTTGGGCCCTTTTTTTACTCCACATACAAAATTTAACTCAAAATGGATCAAACCTCTAATCATAAGAGCTAAAACCATTAAAACTTGCTAAGGAACATAGGGGAAGAGCTTTATGACATTGTATTAGGCAATGATTTCTTGGATCTAAGAGGAAAAGCATAAGCAACAAAGAAAAAAGAAGTAAAGTGAATTACGTAAAAATTAAAAACTGTGCATCAGAGGACAGTTAGAGTGAAAGGCATCCTGAAGAACAGGAGAAAACATTTGCGAATCATATAAGGGTCAAATCCTTAAAGTCACCAGTAAGAACAGCCCATATAACCTGATTTAAAAACGGGAAAAGGACGTGAAGGCACATTTCTCCAAGGAAGTTATACAAATGGCCGACAAGCACATGAAAAGTTGCTCAGTGTCAAAAATCACTAGAGAACTGCAAATCACGACCACAACCAGGTATCACCCGACACCTACCAGAATGGCTTCTAGTTTTTGAAAAAACAAGTGATGGTGAGGATGGGAAGAAATTGGCACTCTTGAACACTTTTTTTCCTCTTGTACAATGTTCTCAAATGGTGCAGCTGCTGTGGATAACAATGTGACAGTTCCTCAAATATTAAAAATAGAATGGTAACTGTATATGATCCAGCTATTCCACTTGGAGTGTGTGCCCACAGAACTGAGAGCAGGGTCCTGAAGAGACAGGTGAACAGCCAGGTTGAGAGCAGCGTTCCTCACAACAGCCAAGAGGAGGGAGTAACACGAGTGTCCAAGGATGAGTGAAAGGATAATAAAATGAGGTATATACATACTACAAAATATTATTCAGCTACAAACAGGAATGAAATTCGGACACACGGATGACTTTTAAGGATGTTAAGTAGTCAAAGGAGCCAGTCACAAAAGAACAAATACTGCCTGATGCCTCTTAGAGCAGGTTCCCAGAGTAGCCAAATTCAGAGACAGAAAGTCCAATGGTGGCTGCCAAGGGCTGGGGAAGGAGGAAGTGGGGAGGAATAACTTACCGGGAAAAGAGTTTCGTTGTTACAAGACGGAAAAGTTTTGGAGATTGGTCGCACAACAGTATGAACGTACTTAACATTACTGTACATGTTGGTAAAAATGATTAAGACGGTATATTTTACATAAGGTATATTTTTTATCACAGTTTTTAAAAGACTATCAAAAGGTGCTTAAACATGTTTAAAGAAATGTTATATGGTGAGATACCATCATTCATCAGACCTGAGATGACTTCTCATCTCTGTGACCCTGGACTTCCGAACCTCAACTCCTGCCTGCATCCCCCTCGCTGCTCATAGATGAACCTGATACTTGTCATTTAAGCCTATTTGGTACGTGCCAGGCTTTTCCAGACATAACCCACAACCCTTTTCTGGGGAGGCAACAACAGCGCAGCACGGCTTAGTGCCATTTCCCACGGTTGTGAGAGGAGTGGGCTGCTACTGGGTCCCATGGCCTGACCACCACACCTCATGCCCCTCAAGGTCGCTCATCCTAACAGCCACCTGGGGAGCCCAGAAATTCAGATTTCCCTCAGAGATGAGTGGCTCTCTAGATATGGATGCATGTTGAGCGTGCAGGTCCTGGGATGAGCAAATTAACAGCTGACAAGATGAAATCAAACAGGATTGCCTGACTTGACAGACTAAGGGAGGCTTGATGAGGGTGGGTCTGGAATGGGAGGAAGGAGAAATGAAAATTGCTTACTGCAGGGCACATTCTG